TTATCTTCTGGCACTCATATGACCTTATGCAGTTGCGAGCGCCGTAAAACCTCTCCTACAACTAAAAAACGAAGAAGTAAACAAGCGTGAAAGAGTCTGTTACTGCTTCACCGCCTGTTGCTGCGAGACAACTAAGTGAGGCACCGTGGTGAACTCGGGCGCCTGTCAAAATATTGAAATCCAAGAAACCAGCCGGTTTGACAAGTGTTTTTTTTTGTTGTTGTTGTTTTGTTTTGTTTTTTGGGGCTCAACACATTTTATGTGTGGATTTTGCTGGAAAAACCTGGATCAAATGCTCAAAAAACTCGTAAATTTTGAGTTAATAAGCACTCTCAAGCTATGGAAGTCGCTAAACTTCGGTGGCCATTTTAATAATAATAAATAATAAATGCATTTATATAGCGCATATCCATGCTCAAGAGCATGCTCTATGCGCTTTACAACTATTATTACCCCAGCAGACCCTCAGAGAACACTCGGAAATATCCTCGGCTTCCGCGGAAGCATACAGTGCAAGCTGTAGATTTCACGCGCTCAAACACTATCAAACTGACAAGATCGTTCACTGTCTATAGTCGGGTACCCATTTCCACCTGGGTGAAGTGAGGAAAATTTGTGCAAAGTGCCTTTCCCAAGGACACAACGTCGGGCGCCTGATCAAACCCACGACCTTACGGTTGCGAGTCCGAGAGCCTAACCACTAGGCCACCGACGCCACAATTTTCTTGCAAATTTTACATTTAAAACCATGGGACCTCACCTTTTTTAATTGCAAATATCTTGACTTATGTTCAAGCTAGATGACTATTTTTTCCAGGGAAAACAAGATAAATAAACTGGCTTTAAGATTATACCAATAACTTTATGTGCCCCAAAATTGACAAGGACCTGATTCCATCATGCTATGGCAACAATGGATTATCTAAACATTCTTCTCGAGACTGCTGCTAGCCGTAAGGATTTAAATTAAGAGGGCTGAACATTAAAAACGATAAAACAAGTCATGGAACACACAGAACATCAAAGCACCAATTTAGTGGTTCAGTGATCTGATAAGAATACTCCGAAACCAGCTAGCTGCACGAGCATACAACTAAAAAAGTCCAGGTACAAGTGCAAGGGAAGACCATGAAAAACTTGGCTGGATGGCGTTGAAGAGATCCTCCAAAATGATTACATATCATCAACAGAAGCCACCCACCTCGCCCTTGACCGGAACTTGCACCTCCCCTCGACATCTAACAATACAAAAGTCAAGTCAAGTCAAGTCAAGTCAAGTCAAGTCAAGTCAAGTCAATTCAAGGGGATGCAGCATAATGGCCACGTCGTCATCATCATCATCATCATCATCATCATCATCATCATCATCATCATCATCATCACCACCACCATTGTAAACAGCAGAGAATAAAATAAGGTTGAAACTTATAGAATTTACAAGAAAATTTTATATTGGCTCAACGTTTCGCCCGATCACGGGTTTCATCAGGAATATACAAAAAATAATGTTAGATCTAACGACTACACTAGCTATAGTAACCAAAATGCGCCCATCATCGTCACAATGCTAAAATGGTACGATAAACACAAATCGGAAGACCAGAGAAAGGGGAATGCTACGGCAAGAAGTGATATTATGTATGTACCGTCAAATCATATTAATAGAAATGTGAATGTAAGTAGTAGTAGTAGTAGTAGTAGTAGTAGTAGTAGTAGTAGTAGTAGTAGTAGTGGCACACATCTACATGTGGAAAGGAACTTTTAAAAACTTTAAATTCCCCACAGGTAGGAACTCTACCTATGTAGATGATGATGATGATGATGATGATGATCATCATCATCATCAGTGTTGAAAAGCCCAGTTAACGTATAGACTGTTGCTGAAATGTTGGTTTACAGCGTTAAAAAAGAGGGGGGGGGGGCTGCATTTCTAAATCCATAGAATCTCATTCTTCAACACACGACGAACATTCTTTTAATTTATTTTTCTTCCTTTCTTTTGGGAAGTGTTTACGGCACTCGCAACTGCATATACGGTCATGTGAGCGCGCGGGACACAATAATTAGCATTTTCAATTTGGTAGGAATTAATTGTGAATTTGCCCGAATGGGGGCCGAAGCCAACTGTTTTCGATTTTAGTACCACCGAGGACTCTTTAACGTGCGCAACTTACACACGTGACCTCCGAGATTGTTTTCGCCCTTTTACGAGAAGGCTTGGCGTTAGATTTTACCTGCCCTAAGATCAGGGGTATGGCTGATTTATAGCAGTAAGAAGAGGCCAATTAAGGAGTAGCAGTAGGAAGGTTGCAGAATGAGTCAGGAGCCCAGAGGTGGGGGCAAAGTAGCGGCAGGGGGGGGCGGCAGAAAATGGACACAAAAGCAGACGACAGAACATGGTTGGAGATCAGGAAAGAAGGTGAAAGGTGAAATTTTTTTGGAGAGGAAAATGTTCTATCGCTGTCAGCTTTCGAACCCTGGATCTCATCATCATCATCCAGTGCCAGATCTGCGACAGACATCTGCGACAGACATCGGCGATCATGATTTTCCATTCATTCCTTTTAAATGAATGTACTTTTCCATGACTGTTCTTGGGATATTACAGCAGTGGTTTCCCGTTGCCTACTGCCGACCCTGGATCTATTGAATTAAAAGCGAACACCGTACCTCTAGTCTACGAAAGCCCCCAAATATTCATTTTAATCCTTTAAGAGATGTAAATCTTGTCTTTTCTGTTCCAAAATTACATCTTCAGGGTTGTTGTAGTCTCTCTCTCCAAAGGTTGCGGCCGTTGAAAAAATGGTAAATTACCAATAACCGAATGTTATTTCTTCAATCTGAACGAAGTTGACCCTGATATCTTCCGCATCGGAAGATCCAAATTTAACCCGTGAAAACGAATAGCCCTCTGGGATGGTAGAGCAGTAAGGGTCACTGTGCTGGGAGATTGGATCAGGACGCGGGGTGAGCCTGAGATAATGGGAATGAAGTCAAGAAGAATAAGGACATCCTTTAAACATAGAACCTGAGGATGTCAGTGTATGGGAGGAAGGGATGTATGAAAGATAGGAGGTTGTGGGGATTCTATCTAAGATGCGTGTGTGAATTGGGGGAGGGGGTGTTAAGATATGTATTTCTCTCTATCTCTCTCTCTCTCTCTCTCTCTCTCTTTCTCTCTCTCTCTCTCTCTCTCTCTTTCTCTTTCTTTCTGTGTGTGTGTGTGTGTGTGTGTGTGTGTGTGTGTTTA